AAGCATTGAAAATCGGTGCAACTGATCCTCAAAATAGTGACCTTCAATGAAAAAACAATTTATTAAGAAATGTAATTTTAACTCTTGCTGAGATAGACGCACTTAAGTATTATCTACTGACCAACAAAACCATAAAATAGAATTCAACTTAGGTAAGCATATAAAATTGAAAAAATGGAGAATTAAGTAAACAGCAAAACATTAAATAAACAAACGTTTAAAGGAAAAATAAAGTAAATATAAAAATTAAAGGGCTTGGAGCAATAAAGTTAAGGCAACAGCTACAGGCCTTGAAAAAGAAATTCAAACAATTGAAAACAGAAAAAGTTAATTTTATTAATAAATTAAAACATTTTTTAAGGTTTGAAAACCTATTGGCCCTCAACAACTGAAAATAAATTTAAAAAATATTTAAAATACACAACAAAAGCGGAAAAACCAGTCTTATTCGCCGCACAGTTGATATAAAGGCGAAATTAAAACTTAAAATAAATAAATAAAATAGAAGAATTAGTCTTGTACTTAGAAATAATTGCCCTAAGTATTGTTTTCCATAATTAATAAAAATATTACGTTTAGTAAGTGATAAAAAATATGGCGTAAAGTAATGTGTTAGAATGTTAAAATATTTTAACTTCACATATTATATTACGCGTACTCCATAATTGAATAGTTTTCGATGAAGATTTTTATCAATCCTTTTTAATTGCTTATACATAATCACTTAGAGTGGAACGGGCTCAAAAAATGACTTCAGGACAAAAAGTAAAAATTAGGCAACGCTTCATAAATCAAGGGATATACACAACTAGCTACGATGGTTGAGACTGGTTTCTTCAAACGGTAGACATCATGAAGTAACTTCTTCAGACTGCAAATATTTGTGGATCTACAAGGCTATTTTAGTTTAATTTTTTTTTTTAAAAAAAGTCCCCCATTTTGTGTTTTTCTTTTCTTGACGAGTTAAACCTTATCTGCAGTTGCAATCTACCACTCAGTTGAAGGGGAAAGAACAATAATTGAGAGTTAGTAAAAACATTCTATAGCACCAAGTAAAAAATATCTGAAAATGCTATTTTTCCTGTAATACCCCGGACTTATGTACCTCGTAGCAAAACTAAATATTCAAAATCACCACTTAATGAAATGGCGAGAGCTTTGTTGAAAAAAGTTATATATTTATTCATTTATTTCTAATAATAAGATGATTATTTATTCCAGACTTAATTTATAAATAAAATGTTTTTATGCTTTAATTTTTATGCAGGTGACAAAAAATGGGAAGTGCACACGTTTTTAATTATATGTATAATGGTATTTAAAAAAAAAAGGGGGGGGGATAACTCAAAGTTGGCTAATAAGTTACACAAACTTAGTTTTAGTTTCATTAGATACACACTAAAAAAAAATAATCGCAAAACTGCTTTAAGTTTTTAGCAATATAAATAACAGTGGTCAGAAATAGCGTACTACAAGTAGTGAAATTACTGTAGTCGCTATTTTTTCTTAGTTTGTAGCGCAGTGTGCTACTTTTTTAGCAAAAATTGTTAGTGAGCAGTGCGATAGAAAAAAAGTAGTTTATAGCTATTCAAGGAAACTACTTTTAATGTTAATTAAGTAACGAAACAAGGTTCGAAAACTTCACGGAACGGACATGAAAATACCCTTGTGGCTAAGCGTTAACAATTGTTTATTTAGTATCACGTATAACTAATATTCAACGAATAATAAATGATTTATTACTTTGGTCAGATCTCTTAAATGCGAATGAACACCTGCGAAACATTGATGTTATTTTAAAGGAAGGGAACATGTTTTCGATGCGCATAATTTCTTAGAGTAAATAAAAGAACATCAAACATTTAACGAAACTGCGAGTATTTGATAATTTACTAGCAATTCTAAATTTAAATATTCGCAGTCGAGAGAGGCATAAAAAATTATAGGTAAAATGAACATATTTTTTAAAAAATGTTTTAGTATAACAAACAGGCTCAAGTAAATATGAATAAATTATTCTTAATTCCCCATGTTTAATATAAACTAATTTTTTATTCAAAACCAACAAAGATTTTAATTAATTTTTCCAGCAAAGTTCGTCTCTTTAAATGGTGAAGTAGTAACTACATTTCGAAAGTAGTTTGTAAAAACTACGAAAGTAGTTTGTAGTTAACTACATTTGCAACAAAGTAGTTGTAATAAACTACAAAAATAATGTAGTACTGGATGTGCGTTTAAAATCAGGCTTTACCTTACTTTTTAATTCTGAGCCTTCAGACCGATCATTACAATAATGATAAGCCATATTTTTTATAAATGTCAACTGCTCCCTAGTCTTGTTTTGAAATAAAATGTGGCTCATTATTATAATGCCCCAAGCAAAGTTTCATATGTAAAACAACAATTGAAAATTCTGCCTCAAATGAACTCCTCTTGAAAAAAGGTAAATAAAATTAATTCCTATAAAGTAAAAAATAATTAGCTTAAAAGCTACAGCACGGGCTAAAAAGGTTAACTGTTTAAAAAAAACTGTTCTTTTTTTTTCCCTCCTGTGTGTTATAAAATTGCTAATAACTAGAGGCCGGATTTTGATGACCTAAAAAATATCAATTAATGCCCTTAAAAAGTGCAAAAAATGCCCTTATGAACTGCAAAAAATGCCCTTAAAAGTGCAAAAAATGCCCTTACGAACTGCAAAAAATGCCTTTAAAATGCAAAAATTGCGCTAAAAATGCCTTATGACATGACTTAAATAGAAGTAAAAATATTGAACTAAAACAATGTTTTACTCTTTAAAATTATTATGAGTCGTTTCAAAAAATATAAAGCAATGCAATACTTGTTCTACGTTCATTAAAGTTTGACAAATATGTTTTATATCCAAAAATAACAAAAAAAAAGAAAATATATTGACTCCAAAACATTTTCATTTTGTATAGAAACTTAAATGAATATAACAACTTCCATCTCATAATATTACTAAATATCAGAATTACAGTGGATTATTAAATTTTTTTTTAATATTTTGAAATGTAAACGAGCGTCTCTTGTCTGAAAGCAAATTTTTATACCAGGAGAAGCTTCTTTCAACGTCTACTGATGTTATTGGTGCGTACTTGAAAAGGACGGTCACACTTACTGACAATTCTTCTTCAATTTGAAAAGATGTTGCTTCACCTGTTAATATCCTAGAAATTTTCTTCATTGTTTGGAAGCCAGTGTAATAATAAAAAATTATAAAAAATAATAAAAATTAGAAAAATTTAACAAAAAATTTAAAAAATGCTTTAAAATGCAAAATACGCCCCAAAATTTTAAAGAAAATGCCCTATAAATCTCAAAAAATGCTCTAAAGGACAAAGAATGTCCAAAAATGCAAAAAAAAATGCAAATGTCATCAAAATCCGGGCCTTACTAATAACCGTTTGGGTTTTAAAGTCATTTTCAGGCCTGTTAAAAAAAATTATATTTAAGTCTCTTAAAGATCCTATCAGTATTGAAAATTGCTGGGGCATTTACCACTGGAGCGACATTTGCTACATTGAACCAACTAGAACACAATAGATGTGTCCGTGATCAAAAGAATACGAGAAAACATCAATTGCTGCACATAGTAGGAATCTCCAGAAATCTTGAGCATAATCTAAATTTCGAAAATACCAAAATTATTTTCCTACCCAAAATTTAAAATATAAAAAAAAATTATTTTAATGGTGACAAGTGAGTCGGACAATTTTGCAGGATTCTGATTTGTTCGATAGCAACTGCGGTGACCAATTATTGCTTTTATTTGTTATCTGTTGTCCTTTCCTTCTCTTCTCCCTTCCCTCATTATAATTAATTATTAATCTAACTAATCAACTGATTTTAATAACACAGGCATTGATTCAAAAAACAATTCATCATGTACGGAGGTGGCCACATTGGCCGGTACTCCGCGTCACCCATTACCAGTTTCCGCAAAAGTGAAATCCTTTAAATTTAGTATGATCTTTTAAAAAATCATTTATTGCTGGGCAATAAATGATTATTGCCCAGCAATAAATATTTAAAAGCATATGGATACTCAAAAAATTATTACAAATACATAATTTTTAAAACAATACAACTATCACAAAACATTTCAAATTTAATTGAAAAAGTAATACAAATATAATATTTATACTTTCCTGGGATACGGTGGAAATTTTCGGACTCAAACATACTCCACAGCTCACATTTTACGTCAATTTTTATCTCTTTTTAATTTAATCATTTTTTTTTAAGTCAGCGTGCAATTAATGTATAAAAACGAATACCGTTAAAAATATTTTATTTTGATACAAAAAATTTTAAAACTTAATTTTAATTTTAAAAAAATTATTTTGTTTAAATAAAAATGATTTCAACTTTAAGCGACACAGTGATTAGCACTTTTTTCTGAAGTTTATACTTTTGCTTCAAACAGCTGCTTAGCATTTCTTATAGATTCTGGAACAAGATTACGGAATTCACCCTACTGCATATAATTACATAGTCAGAACCTCAATGAACCACATGAATAGTCCTTTACTTCATTTGCATTCCCACAACCTCATCAAAGCACCACACAGATCAAGCTCAAGATGAATGGGAAAAGGGCCGCAAGCGGCCTCAGGTGCCCAGATATTTTATACAGTTTAAGTTTTAAGATTACGGAATTCCAACTAGGTAACAGCAAACACACGGAAATTATTTTATTGTCTATGCTTACATAGAAATCAAGGTGCTTTTTCACCAAAAACTGTTCCCTTCAAAACACGACAATTTCAATCTGCCCAAAGCGAAAAAACGAAACAAATCGGTTCTAGTGTCAGAATCATCTCAGTTCTTTAAATTTACTCAAAACTAAAATATTGACTATCTAAAAGTAATTTTTTTTTCCATTGCTGAGAAATGTTTTGAGTCACTTCTATAAAGTTTCAGATTTTAGCAGGTTTTGATGGTCTGTTGAAAATGGATCCAGTTGTAAAAAAAAAAAAAAAAAAACTATTTCTAAACCTGTTCTAAACATTATTCTGAAGAGAAAAAATGGACATGATAAATTAATAATTTAATCATAAACTAATAAAACATACCTTTTCTTCAGTCTGTTCTCGAATTTCCACTAGAGTTGATTGCAAATCTTCACATTTCTTTTTCCAATCAATTTCATCATCATTATTGGCAATATGACCATTGTCTGCAACTCCTTGATTCCAAGAAGCCTCTCCACCACCTTCTTCCCCTTCACCCATAATAGATGGAAGAGAAGATCTCGCAGATGAAGCCATACTGAGACGGTCTATAGGTCCAAGGCGAGCCAAATCTGGATCAGCCATATCGGACGTGATAGACCGCGATAACCTTGAACATACAAAATAAAGCATATTAGATATATATAAATGAAAATAAATATTAATTATAAAGATATTACTAATGAGCCGCGATTGACCAATGGCTAAAAGCACTGAGCTATAATTATGAAGAACTGTGGTTCTAATCTCAGTGGAGGCCTAAAGACCATACAGCTTCAGATCAATGGGAACCAGCTTATTTGGGAAGTGAAGGTCTGGACAACTTGCGAGCAATGCTGATCACATTGCCGTTCTCGCCATCATAATTGAATATATGACCGTTGATCACGAAATAGTGGAGACAATCTCTATAATCCCACAATTAGAGTTCCATACTGATTCGATTTAGTTGATTCAAACAAGATCGGGTCCAAGTTATAGCTGTAAAATACCCAGGTTTTTATAACTAAGGGTAAATACCCTGGATATTTTCCCGGGTAAATACCCGAAATTCATAAAACCCTGGGCTTTACAAAATTATATATATTAAAGGTACTATTTAAGTTTTGCTTATATGGTCATTCTAATATGCTATATCTATGGTCTCTTCTTCTATTCGATCATTTTATTTTAATTTTTATATGAGAATGGCTTGATCATCCTGAACTTTACATTTATCATAATTCAAACAAACAAAGTTTTGAGAAATATATTTTTAAAATGCAATTTTTTTTCCCTTCAGATTTTAAATAATTTATTGTAGATCATTTATCATACAAAACTTTTGCTGCATATGAACAATATGTAATCCTTCTCGCATCCATAATTAGTTGTGATGTGATGATATTCGAACAATAACGCTTAATGTGTTCAATTAAATTCGCAATAAATATTTGAGTTTCGATATAGATATTAGTAATTGATTAAAAAATATAGAGATTAATAATAATTTTAATTTTCAGAGGGGTAAAAAACATATGCTACTGATAGCGTGCATGTATCAATATTTTTGCATGTTAAGTTTAATAGGTTGTTACGCTTCTTCCCTTATTAAAAAAAAACTTTTCTGGGGGAAGGGGAACTACTATGTTATCTAGATTTAAAATTAAATGTTTAACTTATTGAATAACTCTCTAAACAAAGGTTTACATATATTATTACGTGAAATATAATAAATAAATAAAATATATATTAAGTTTCACTACACTTAATGTTTTAGAGAACAGAAATTTAATTATGGGTACAATACAAGAATAAAAAATATTATCTCTATTTTTTTTTCTTAATTTAAATACATAAAATTTATTTGGAAATTTTTTTTGAATAAACTTAATGTTATGATTTTTAGTCTGATTAGGATATATCAAATAACACTAATAACAAAATCACACAAATATATAATAATTCATGTGAACCAAATTTTAATCACAAATATCGTTTATTCTTAATTAATCAATATTTTACATAGAATTGAAAACAGTATACAAGATCTTAATAAATTTAACTTAGTCATATTTATAATTTCTAAACAATAACTACTTCTTGCTTAATTGTATAAATTGTCTTGTATTCTAAAGGTTAAGTAGTATTTTGCTCATTGTTTGTAAAATAATTCCTGAATATGAAAATTAAATTCCATAGTTCAATATTTTTTTGTGTTGAAATTGTGAAATTTTAAAATTTCACTAAAATATCAATAATTTAAAAAAATCGTTTTTCTTTTTATTGTTTCTAATAAGATGCAGGAAAAAAAACTATTTAAGCAAAATATTAAATGATTTTAAACATTATAAAAAAACTTATTTTAAATTAAATAGTTTTATAGCTTTTTTTAAAAAAAAAAATTAGATACGAAATTTCAGTTTAATTTTATCATTTATATTAAATCTATAGAATGAATAGAAACAAACAGAATTAGGTAATTTTAAAATTTTTACTTGTGCTCATTCATTTTTTCTATTTCATCCTGTTTATACCAGTGCCTTGAAGAAAAAAATATATTTATTCACTTAAATCACGTAACAAAGCCTACTGTTTATTTTTAATTTCCATTTTATAATTAAAGTTTCATAATTTCCAGAACTATAAGCAAGACAAAATCATGGTCACATGCTTTAAAAGGGACAAAAACCTGATTTTGGGTATTTACNTAGGTAATTTTAAAATTTTTACTTCTGCTCATTCATTTTTTCTATTCCATCCTGTTTATACCAGTGCCTTGAAGAAAAAAATATATTTATTCACTTAAATCACGTAACAAAGCCTATTGTTTATTTTTAATTTCCATTTTATAATTAAAGTTTTATAATTTCCAGAACTATAAGCAAGACAAAATCATGGTCACATGCTTTAAAAGGGACAAAAACCTGATTTTGGGTATTTACCTAACGCAGGGGTAATGAGTAGAGAATTTATAAATTACCCACCCGCTGGATATTTACCCGACCCACATCTATAGTCCAAATTAGAAAGAAAATTATAGTATCCTCTTTAAATCAACAGCAAAGCAAATGTGACTATTATTTATATGAAAATCTGTAAATAAGCAATATTAGTGTTAATACATTGATGATAAAATATATAGAATGCTGAAATCATTTTTATTATTGGTATTAAGGGCGTCTAGCCAAATCTCTCAACAAAAAATAAGCACCTTTAAAGTACTTTTTAAGCACTCAAAACATATTTTTAAACACTATATACATTAACAAAATGCAAAATAATTTTTAAAGACTTTACATGATCATGATAAAATAATTAGTTACTGACAAAAACTCTTTTCTTGATTATATTAGCCACCATAAAAAGATAGAGAGATTTTTCGGTTCGATTTCAGAGGGTGGAATACGTAGCGAAAATCGACATGGTAAAGAAAAAAAATAATTTTCAAAAAGGGAAAATTAAGCATTTTTTAAAGACACCTTCCAGGGCTTTAAAAAGAACGAAAATTGAAACCAAGCACCTTTAAGCATTTTTTAAAAATACTACGCTCAATGTAAATATAGTGATTCGAATGAACTGATTCGAAGTAAATTTAAATCAGTTAATGATTTGAATAGGTAATCTGAATCAACTAAGTGAACAGATTCGAATAAACTTGACGATTCGTATCGCCCAACACTGCCATCAAAAAATATAGTATATTACCTTTTAAATCCCATACTTACAAACGGTATTATATCAAAAATATTTCTTTTTAAATTTAAAAAAAGTTTTTTCGTTTAAAAAATGAAACAAAAATTTTTTTCTTTAAAAAATATTTAAACAATTTTTTTTTTTAAAAAAAAAGAAAAAAACTATATTATTTTTTTTTAAAGAAAAAAAAAAGCAAAACTTCGACAAGCATAAAATAAACTACTTCAGAATATCGCTTAAGAAACCAGCAGATGGAAGGGAACTACAGGCCATGGACAGAAAAGGGGCAGTTGTATTTACCCTCTATCCTGCAAATGCAGGTTCTAAAAATAAAATAAAAATTGGACACAGTATGATGCTTTTTTTATACATACAATGGTATGGAAAAGCCGGTATAAAATAAAACAGCAACTATAGGGGGGAAAATAAATGGGAAAAAAGAGGGTTTCCTTTACCATCACGTGACCGTGAATCTTTTTCTTCACGTGAGAGAAGAGAAATAGATTTGTAAGGACCCTTTTTGTTTCGCAAGTGAGCGGTTCTTTTCTGATTGTTTATTTGAGAATGCATAATACCCCTCATTCTATGAATGCTCAATGAAGGAAAAAAGAAGAAAAAAAAACACTCCATTGATGAACTTATGAAAGAATAAAAGGGAACTGTTCTAAGATAAAATAGAGAAGAACTTATCATACACGTCTCATTCTTTGGACAGAACTATTTCTAACTGCTTCAGGATGTTTAGATTTGTTTTCGATTGAGTTAATACACTTTTTTTTTCTTCGGAAATGCTAAAAATTTGCTACATTATTCTAAAGACTCAAAGCAGGAGAAATAAAACGAATAACTAAGTGTTACGTATATTTTTTAATGTACGAAAATAAACACTTTGGGATATTTTTTTTTCGCGCAAGTTAGAGTAGCATTCAAAATAATACAACAAAAAAAACTTAATAACTTTTGATTTAATTGTCTGATTTTAACGCATTAAGATGCAATCTTAATGGTTCGAGGGTCTAATCTCGATATTACACAGTTCCTGGCCAAATTAATAGACGCACTATAAGATTCTATGTAAAATCTTAATTATCAGGAGATCTAACGCAGCTTAATTGTTTCTACGCGACTGAAACCAGTTTGCACTTGTTTTCGTGTATAAATTGGTGAAATTAGACGACATATAATATAAATGGGACAATTGAATAAATTAGACGATAGATTACATACATATAAAATATTTATTGTATTAGGTATTATATTAGTATATTATAATAATTAGACGTAGTGAAGTGTTTTAATAATTGCATGTTTTGCACGAGTTTATATGCAATACTCTTATATTAAAACATAAATGTAATGAGTCATTATAGGAGATTTTTTATATACTTCGCATTATTGTATTTATTTTTAACGTATTGCATTACAATGTTAATCAATTAATACACGTACATAAACAAGTGTAGATCGGTTTCAGCCGCGCAAAAACACTAAAGTTGTACAGTGTCACCTGATAATTAAGATTTTACATAGAATCTTACAGTGCGTCTAATAGTTTGGCAAAGGATTGTATGTCAGATAATATGCTAATTAATTAGTGCAATAGATATTTAAAATTATAAAATCAGACAAAAATTATTTTCTCTGAATAAGCAAACCTTTTTTACGGTGGATGTACATTTTTAACCCTCAAAATATAGAGGACGGATGTAATCTTAAAAAATAGTCATCATCAAAATAGCCAATAACTGTTTTCGCCAAAAGATAGTTAATAGAGCGGGTAAAAGTGCATCGATTGAAAATCACGTACCTGTGTGAGGTTGATCTCTATATCTTTTTGACACCAATCAGGAATTTTTCCAAGGGATCGAAGACTTTAGGGAAGAAAATATTCTAGTTTTCGTAAAACTTACGTAGTATTGAAATAGGGTAGCTCAA